CATATATATAGTAACAACGAGGTACTGTTTCATGGAGTTTAACTGAAGACAGATTGTATACAACTCGAACACATTCTGTAAAATCGTCCGTAACACTCTACACAAAGACTGAAACCCAATAGGCAGAGAACCGCTTGCTTCAAGGTTGCTTCGCTCTCTCTCTCGTCTGTCCATAAACGCCGCAGTAAGACCTTAAACTGGACTTGGCGCGGGACTCCCCTAAAGCTCTCTCCCTCGCTCTCTCTCTCTCTCTCTCTCTATCTCTCTCTCTCCCTATCTCTATCTCTCTGTGGGCTTAATATTGCCTTTTGCAGGCGATGAGGTCCCTAGAGTAAGAATTGGGTATAATCTTGGAAATGTAACTGCAGGAGCAGAACCATCGGCTGTAATGACGTAAGCCACCAAATTAGAAGAGGAATAAGAGAGTTCAATGTTGAAATTCCATTTAGATATAAACAGTTACCTCGGAACGAAATGCCTATACCCCCTATATGTACCTATTCGGTTTTTGCTCTCTAACCTTGAAAATCCGAAAAGTAAACACGAAAAATATTATCGAAGATTTATGTGCGCTTCAATTTAGCAAAGCCCATTATGGGGGAGAAATGTTATTTATGTTGACAGCAAATATCGAAATCATGTTTAGCAACTGTTTTTTTTTGTTTTTTTTTTCTGGTTAATAAACATTTTGACGCTTTGTACAACCAACATTTGCTCGTACATATTTATTTATGGCTACAAAAGCAGATTTACAATTTTATGGTTGTTTGCTTAATTGCTGCGAGTGAAAATGTAGATAAACGACAATTGACCGTTAAAGTTTTTAAATATATGAGGATTGACTTTTTGGAAAAAATTGCTTAAATTTTCGAGATGAATTTATTCAGAACCGGGAGTGATTTTTTTAATAGCAAAAATCTTCAATATTTCAAACGAAAGTTGAACTCTGAGTATTTTTCGAAGAATTATATATGTACATACATATATGACAAAAATTAGTTTTTCTTTATTATTGGTGGTTTTTGACGTCTTCCACATTTTTTAATTTTTTTCCATTCAAATGGTTCTGCAGCGATCGAAACAAATGATAATCAGAAGGTGCAATATCTGGTGAATATGGGGGATGCGGCATGATTTCCCCATTCATCTCCTTCAGTTTGGCCAGGGTCGGTTTTGCAATATGTGGCCTAGCGTTGTCATGATGGAAAAGAACTCCTTTGCGATTGGCCAAAATCGGACGTTTTTCATCAATTGCTTTCTTCAATTCGACCAATTGCTGACAATACTTGTTGGCAGTGATCGTTTCTCCAGCTGGCAAGAGCTCAAAATAGATCACGCCTCGGATATCCCACCAAATGCACAGCAGTACCTTCATCGGATGCAATCCACCTTTCGACATCGGTTCCGCCCCTTCGTGTGCCTGTTTCCATGTTCTTTTGCGTTGAACATTGTTGTACAGGATCCATTTTTCATCACCAGTCACGAGCCGATCCAAAAAAGGTTCGTTTTTGATCCGTCGAAGCAAAGAAATTGCTGTTGACATACGGTCCACTTTGTTTTTTTCACTCAACTGATGTGGCACCCATGTATCGAGCTTCAAAGTGTACCCAACCTTTTTTAAACGACGAAACGCAGTTGATTTGTTGACGTTCAATTCACTGGCAACCTCTTCCGTCGAAATACGTGAGTTATTCGCAACTAAAGTCCTTAGAACATCGTCATCAAGCTCAGAAGGCCGTCCACTGCGAGGTTGATCTTCGAGGTTAAAATCTCCAGAACGAAATTTCGCGAACCATTTCTTTACTGTGCGGAGTGCTGGAGCACGGTCCAAATAAACTTCGCGAATATCTTTAGTTGCAGCGCCTACTGTTTTTCCTTTGCGGAATTCGTATAACATAATATGACGCATATGATCTTTTTCGTTGCCCATCTTCCATGCGTCTTTTCACTAAGCAACTCTAATCAAAATGTAGTTATTTTATGCTTGATTTACAGTTCGGACTGTCACCTTTCCAACGATATATAATATGTATGTATTTCTTGCACGAGCGCTACTCTCAAACGATTCGAACGGCATCAAGCGGAATCGGGCACGAACTTATGCACTCATCAATATTATTGTTTGTACGTTGTGGAGAAGGGAATTTCATCGAAGTCTATCGAAAAACTCAAGAAACAGTCGCTCCCCTACCAAATTAATTATTATTTTTGAGCCCATATCTAGGATAGCTTCAATAGTTTTAAAAACCTCTACGAAAGCACTTGAAATATTCTCTTTAATTTTTGTCCGTCAAACCTCGAGGGGAAATTAGAGGCAATCTGCCACGCTGTAAGGCTAAATGTGATTCATTCGCCACAGAAACCGCACACCAATATATTGTTTACTGAAACACCTTTTCTGTTTTCTGCTTTAACTACACTTTCTAGGCAAAATTCCCACAAAGGAATGCAAACGTATAAGTTGTGGATCAAAGATCCGTATGCGTCTTCACTAAAGATTCAAAACTACATGGCAAAGTGGTCTGCGGAGTTCACCCGAAACCGCTTGCCATCGAAATCAGCAGGAGACTTACTAACTACGTCAGTGTCTTTAAGCTCAACTAACAGCAATAATAGAAGCCACTTCATGGTTACTTAACTCCAATACATTATCTCAGTCCATGATAATGAACTATACTAATTACTAAGCCGTCATTAAATGCTTTCATTGCAATCAAAACACTTCAAAGGTGGCAATAAGATGTGGAGGAATCGTAAACAAACTATCGGCTATGTGCGAAACTACTGCGGTTTGGGCCTCCGGACATATTGGTTTCCCAGGACATTGTGAGTCCGACGAGTTAGCTAGAAAGAGCACAATCGCAGCCACGTTAAACTCTGCACACGTTGTGGATATACCTTTTTCCTCTGCAAGATACCTGCTAAGATCAGCCCTCACCAGCTTTTCCAATAGCATATGGCAGGGTGAAACCACAAGCAATGTGATCAGGCAGATCTGGCCGTTGATTGATACAAAAATGAAGTCTCTACTCCTTCTAAACAGAACCACCAGGTGTAATGACCGAACACTGTTTGATGGGTACTCACGTTCAGAGGTTGTACTGCTTCTGACTGTCGCGTCTGCAGAGACAAAGGTGAGAAAGAGACGGTGGAGCACTACTTCTGCCACTTTCCCGCCTTAAATGCAGATATAGCGTCAGTGAGTGTAAATAAACTCATGTGTTTCATTAAACGGAAAAAAATGGTTTCAGCATTTAGTAGGCGAAAAAAATATTTTCTGTAGACCCCCCCAACAGGTATCACAATAGGTCTAAGTGCGCTTGATGTTCTTCAGCAATCTAACCTACTAAGAGTCCATAAACGGATCAGAAGCAAAAGCAGTCAATGCTATCATTCAGACCTAGGTCCCTTACTAAACTCCCGGAAAACTTATGCAGAGTGTTATCACCTCTCTTAGAATTCTCGGGGTGAACAGATTGTTGATGTTGTTGGAGGAAATAGCAGCCATGATTACGCCTTATGCATTCCCTCTACGGGTTAGGAGTTCAAGAATTTACCCGCGGTAAGGAATGTTGTCTGTTGTAAGAGGCGACTAAAATCCAATAGTTCTCGCGACAGTCGGGTTTTTACACCGAAACTACCTGGATTTTTATCCGGTTAAGGACTGTCACTCCTTCAACATTCCCCAAAAAGTACTTTGGGGGATATGTTTGCGGTTATAACAACAACAACAACACGCCTTATGCACACTATGTCTTTTCGGTTATCGTAAGCAATAAATGCTTGGCAATCATTAGTTGAATGACGAAACAAACACTGTCAGAGCTTATGCAGACTGCACGTCCCTTATACCTCATAATGTTCCTTACTCCTCTAAGCGGGCGCACTGGCAGGACTGGGCTGTCATCATTGACCCTTCAACGCCTTCAACAGTTTTTAAAGCAGTATACCATGGACGAACACCTTAAGTCCTGAAACACCTACAACATAGAACGTACCAATAAATTCTCGTGGAGCAGTCCTTCCAGCTCCAACCTTGTGGAAGTGGGCGCGATTGGTTGGAAGAAATTGAAATAATTTACAATATATAAACGACTGAACTATTCGCAGACATATACATACTTAGCCTATCTAGGAGAGCACAATGAGCCTATTTAATGGCTTAAGTGCGACTGCTTGCTCTCAGATGGTCATCCTTCCTCTTTCAATTAACCAACCAACCAACTAACCAACTCTTATAAAAGTTTTAGACATGTGTTATGGTCATGAGGCTCAATCAATACCCTCCGAGTTGAGAGTTGAGTTGATGCTACTTTTGGTCCGGACGTATATATGCCTATTATGATATAGCTGTGCGACTTCTCGGCTGGACAGTGAGCGAGGTAGTGTTCAACAGACTCCTCCCCTTTTGCGTCTCTCGAGCTCTGACAAACGGCGACGAAGTAGTATCCCAAGCTCCATTAAACTGCACGCTGTTATTATAATTATTTACATATTAATGGAGAGCCAGTATAGGAGAATTAAATTCTCTTATCTTTTGGCGTGGTGGTTTCACTGAACAATCTGTTTGACGTTCTAAGCGGACTATCCGCATCGTATGTGGAGTTCACAGCGGTTCTTTCTCTCGCTAGATCCTTGCCGCCCAACACCCACTACTTATTCATTTTACCATCACTTTTGAGCGGGTTCAAACAGCCATATGCTGCGGCTTCTATGATTATAGTAAGTCCTGCTTGAGGACACTGGAGCGATCTGTTAGACACATGTTCATATTAAATACGAGCTTCAGTGGATTTCACAGACTGCTCTCTCATCGAGCTTTGAGCGAAGGAATTTTAGACGTCTCAGAAGATGAGATTGACAAATCTCTGTAATACATAGGACTTTTTGGCTTACCCCTTCTCAAGGGTTATTTCTGTTTGCATTAACTTCAAATTATTTTCTTTCTCTCTGAACCGAGGCATAAAAACTAATTTAATCTTTTTTCTTAAAATTTTCAGTTTCCGGAGAATGACATGCCCAGTCCATGCTCCATCGAGGAGTTACAGAAAAACTTAATCACATTGCCGTTGAGCGCTTTGAAAGGTGAAAAGGTAACATTACAAGTAGAGCTCTTACTATAAATGTTTTTGTATAGCGATTTTTTCATATTTTAGCCTTTAGTCAATGAGAATGAGCACAGTACTGAAGTGATCTTTTACCTGCTAGAGGCGTATAAAAAGAATGAAAAGCTCTGGAATCCCAATCATCCGCAATACAAATATAATGCCAATCGTAAGATGTTTGAAGAATTATCGCGGCCACTGTTGCGTGACATGAACTACTCACTAGATGGCGCTGAGATCTATGCGATCATAAAGAGTCTACGTTCACGCTATCGACTCGAATTGGCCAAAGCGCGCGAACGGAGGGGCAAATACAAAACACGTTTTAAATATTACGACAAATTGGAGTTTCTCCGTGATGTTATAGAGAATAAGCGTGCTGCGCGGAAAGTCAAGGTATAGATGACGGATTATAGCAGAGGTAGCAGCGCGGTTGCTTACTTATATATTAACTTCTCATTGTAGAAACATCACGATAATGCGGTTTCGGAAAAATCGCTTGAAGAAGACTACGCCGAAACAACGCGTTCCACGCATAACCGCACCTTGCTCACATATCTTTTAGATGCTTTTCGCAGACAGGAGGCGCTCTGGAATCCACAACATTCCAATTACTTGCTCGGTGATAAAAATGAACTATTGCGCGAGATCTCTAGCGAGTTGTTGCTGGAGAAGGGCATAAATATGTCGGCGGATGAATGCTTTACGGAGATACAAAAATTGCGTACGCGCTACCGGCGCGAATTACGCATTGTACACGAACAAAAAGGACTTTATGCGCCCAAGTTGTGGTGCTTCGAACAAATGGAGTTCCTGCAGAAGATCTTTGAGGATCAGTTGCGTGAACGCTTGAAAAAGGTAGGCAGTGTCCTTTATTATCATAGTATGTTTTTTGTTTAAACAACTAGTCACAGAGTCTCGTAACTAACATGCGTCTCTTATCTGCTACTTTTTTCCTTTCACTAAATCGCAGCGAAAAGGCGTCATCGCTTGCAAACCGAAGACTCAGTATTTAAAAGCAAAATCGATTGAATTCAAAAGTAACGATGATCATCTAACCTTTATAGAAATCTACAAGAGTTACTCGGCGCTGTGGGATGTGGATCATCCCGATTATCGTTCGACCACCTATCGCAATGAGGAACTCAATCAGATGCTTGAAGAAGTGAATTTAATGCTTGGCATTAATAGCTCATTAGAAGAATTACAGAAGACACTCTATGAGTTGCGTAAAGAGTTTTCAGCGGAGAAGCATAAGCGTTTAGTGGAAACTGCCGACGCGTGCGCAAAATCAACAGCAACTCAACCACCGTCAATTATACAAATGAAACTAATGGAATTTCTCGACTTGAACTTAGGCCCCTTTCGCTGTGATGTCTGTGATGAAGTAATTAAAACCTCCGATCAGTATAAGATACACAAGTCTGGCCATGACGGCATGCAACCGTTCATTTGTACGCTTTGCGGCAAGGGTTTTCAGATACCCGGCAATCTCACTATACACATACGACGGCATAAAGGAGATTTTCCATACGCTTGCGAGGTGTGCGATAAGAAATTTGCCACCTCCACCGAGGTTGCCATCCATATGAGGAGTCATACAGGTGAGTGCATTTGTTATTCTTCTTCTTTTCTTCGTTTTTTTTCGAATAAGATAACCCAGCTTTATAGTAGTTACGGTTTGTGGCCACGCTAGAGCAATGAAAGTAGTCTCTCAAGCTTTCCATTAGACAAGAGTTTGGGGAATGGCGCAATATTTTACGTCTCAATCGGCTAAAGGCCGAGCACTCGTAGATAATGCGTCAGGTTTACCTCGTAGTTGTAAAGTTCTGGATATTTGAAGGTACGAAGAACTAGACTTCGGAAGGCGATGAACATTTGGTAGTAACCCTTATGCAACTTAGATCAAATAGATTGTGGGAAAAGTTCTTCATTTTAGTAAACCTTGTACATCAGCCTATCCTTTTCTGAATCAGACGCACTCTAACGCCTACCAAGGCTACATCTGTACCGTTAAAGTAAGCATGTATAGACACGCAATACGCAATATAGAGGCGATTATTCAACGATAATTGGCCCAGACTGTGAGGTTCGCTGCAAAGAACCGCGAACTGGCAACATCAAGGGGCTTGCAATGTTGTTATTATAGGCTTTGTAGTGACCTAATGAATCCCATATAGCGGGCAAAATTAGTATACGTTGTCGAGGTTATCTAATGGAAAGTCCATGAAACTATCTGTTTCAACAGGCTCGGAGAGGAAAGGCTTATATGAGAGCTTGCGCCCATTTCGACAGTCAGCTCAACGTACTAGCCAAAATCAGCGACTTTTCGGCGACCTATCTCCGTAACTTGCAATACCGTTGCTCAGTTCCCTTATACTTAGTTTTTGCAGAGTACCCTTAGAGAATAGAAGTGCAAGTTAAGTAGAAAATCGGCTGACTGTTTGACGTGATTGCAGCTTCTCGACATCGAACCTTCCCTGACTTAACGCGCGATCTTTGCTGTTACAAGATCCGAGCCAATCTCAGGCTCTCAGAGCGTACACACAACCAGAAGACTTTAGACCAGTCATCCGTCAACCGCAACTTGGTCAATTTCGTTGAGGAATTTTCAATGTGAAGCTTGTTGAATTGATGAATTCTCTTAAGCTGGAATCTGCTGATATGGACGGCTTCAGTAAAGTCCATCAGCTTAACTTCTTTGCCTGCCCTGTTTTTCAAATCGCCATACACATTTTTGTCTTCGTGGTGTAGGCTCAGAGCTGCGTCTAGGCATGGTCGGAAATCACCGATACGTTAAAGAACCTCACTTTGCTGCGCACTGCTAGACTCTCCTCCTTCGAGGTGAATACCCCCGTACTCATCGACGGAGTCTCTTTCCCAAAACATAACCAATACGAAATTTTCACTACTTTTTGTGACGGCCGTAACATATTGCACTAGAATCCATCTTATTCCTTTCAAAGCACTTCTTAGATGACGGAACTGTTAGCCAGGACATCAATCAGTAGTGGCAAGAGCTCTCTGAAGCAATTTTATCTCCAATCATGGTCCTTGAGGCATTTACAAATGCCGTAAAGTCTCTCAGCTGAAACCTTTTTTTTATATTTGAGCTGATCAATCCGGGAGTTTGCTTTCTTCATGAAGTAATTTTTCGATAAAATACTATTTTTAATGAAACTTTTTTATGGGAAACTTTCTTATCAGTAATACTTTCTCTGCCCATGGCCGACCGTGTTTAAAATGTTTTCAGTTGGTCTGCCCATGACATTCGGAAGGCCCGGGTTCATATCCCGGTGCCAGCAACATCCAAAAGTTATGGAAAATTAATTTAAAATAAACAAATTAAGTTAAATTTTCTGATTGCGATCACCCCATGGCAGGGAATGCCTCCCACCCCGCACCTCCGAGTGTATTTCGAACATGAACAGGCTCCTCTTAAAAAAACTATCAGATTCGGAGCCGGTATACACTGTAGGTTCCTCCATTTTTTGGAAAAACATCAAGACTGAAAACCATATATTGGAGAATGAGCTCGGCCGAAAAATCGCTACAGCGGTTACAAAGCGCTCAGCAACTCAGCTTAATTTTCTTTCATATCCACATTCCTGTGCTCTAATTATTATTAATTTTTTTTCTTTCTCTCTCTTCCTCACTCGCTCTTTTTCCGTCTCTTTCAGGTGAACGCCCCTACATATGCGATCTCTGCGATAAATCCTTTAAAACCTGGTCTTTCTACGACACACATCGACGTACCCACCTCAAACAGTCGAACTTTCATTGTCCCATCTGTGACAAGGCCTTCTACGAGCGTAATCGTTATACCGATCACATGAATGGTCACTTGAATATACGGAAACATGCTTGTGACGTTTGCGGCAAGGCGTTCACCACATTTGCCAATCTCAAGAAGCACAACGAACTACATTTGCCGGTGAAGAAGTACAAATGCGATATTTGCGGTCAACGTTTTGCACAATTGGCTAGCGTACGTTGGCATAAACGTAAAGCACATGCGCAGGCGCTTGACAAGCGGCATCAACAGATGGAGCAGTGAAGATTTGGGGAAGGGTGATGAGGTATAATACTTAAGTATGCGTGTGTGTATGTGTCTAGGTGAGTGATTGAAAAGGGGCGTGGCGTTATTTTAAGTGAAAGTGTCAATTATGTATGTACATACACATACAAATGTAAGGTGGGTTGGAGATTGAAAAAGAAAATTATTTTTACTCTTCTAAAAGTGATTTATACCAACTAATAATTGTGACTAGTTTTTAAGATTTTTTATTTTTAATTTTTTTAATTTTTAATTTTTTTTTACAATACTTTCAATTTTTTTCATTATATTATTAGTTTTTTTATTTTATTATATTTTTTATTTTATTATTTTTTTTTATAATAATTTTATTTAATTTTTTTTTGTGTAAAAAGTTTCCTATGAATAAAAAAATGCCAGTATATGAACATTTAGTAATAAATAACTACATTTACGACTATATACTTAAATATTTATAAAGTTAGCTAGTCGTTAGTTGCTAGTTGTTGTTGTTAGTTGTTAGTCGTTAAAAAAAAACTATATTATAAACAATTACTAGTATTATGCACACACGCAATCAATTGTTCAAGTGCCTTTAGTGGTATTTTAGTGTAACATATATGTACGTGAGTAGCTGCTGGTAAATAGGCTGCCAGCCTTTTTTAAGGTTTCTGAAGTAGACTCTATTAGAAATTCAAATAATTATTATAAACAACTAGCGGTACCCCAAAAAATACAAAAATGATAATAAAATAACAAAATAAAATAAAAAAATATACAAAAGTTAAAAATTATATAAAAATTTATACATTAATATTACAATCATTTGGTGAATTTCACAAGTTTGGTTTACTTTTTAAGAAAATTTTTGTCTGAAACCGATCTGTATGCCCTGATGCAGTGGTCTTGAATCGACGATGGCCTATTGTCGTAGACCTTATTCTTCACGTGGCAAAAAGGAAGAAGTCGTCAGGTGTTAAATCATAAGAGCTCAGTGGCCAATTGCGATCACCTCTCCAGAGATAACACGTTGATGAGAATTTTCTCCTAAAAGATCGATTTTTTTTTGCTTGTATGTCACGTAAGGCCGTCTTGTTGAAAGTATACGTTCATCATTAATAATCTCTCTATAGCGCAATCCATTCACCGTAACTGTTGCTCCAGCCTTATTTTCGGAAAAGTAAGGTCTAAGAACCGTACCAAAAATTTACACTTTGACGATAGAGGGGCTTTTCAATAATAAATCTTCAGTTTTCTGAGTCCCAAATGCGAAAGCTTTGCTCTTTGACGAGGCCATCGAGTTGGATGAATTTTCGATCTAATTCCGTACCGTATTTTCATGCATTTCAAGGACCCAATCAGCAAAGGCACGACATTCTTAATAATTGGCCGACTTGAGTTCTTGTGTTCACTGAATTTTATAAGCCTTAAGACCCAAGTCTTGATACAAAGTACGGTGTAGTGACGTTTTGAAAGAACGACGAGGAATGAGCATATCCAGGGTTTTTTCAACAATTTATACCTCACTCAAAGAAACCCTTGTCTCTATTCACAAAAAATTGGAGCAACCGATTTTCTTCGCCTTCTCTTGAGGTCAATTCTTCACCAGCGAAATAATTTGCCACACACAGGTACTGCTGGTAATCTTGATTCGAGGCCCAGACTATAAGGAGATGCGTAAGAACTCCCCAACCAAAGCTTCTGGCGAGTCACTATCGCTGTTTGTGGTCTGTCGTTGTACTGATGAAACACAATTCCCTCCAGTTGGGCAAAGCTGGACGATTACATCCTTCAGACGATCGAATTGCCGACAGTACACTCGAATTAATAGTACGAGCATAGAGGAGCAGCTCATGGTCTTTGACAATCCCATCAAACACACAATAAAACCTTCCTGGTCGTCAATTTTGGCTAGGATACCATTTTTGCCGACTCACTGCCTTTCGACCACGACCGTTTTCTTTTGTTCTATGTCACCGATGAGTTTTTTTTTTCGTTAACTCATTGTCAGTTATTCATCGAGCTTCCTTGTGTATCCTGAGCCTTTAAAATCATTTCAGTTTAATACCCTCAATATTGCATGCCATTTACATAACCAGTTTTAATGTATACAAATTTTCTCAAAAAGTGGCAACTCTGCCCCAGCATTAAGCTCTTGAAATCACTTTATTTCGCCACTCATATAGTAATGTTTAATGTTTTGTATCAATTTGTTTATTTTAAAATTTTCTTAAACGGTGTGGCTACGCTGCTCTAAGTTTTTTAATTGTCTTCATTAAGCTTTCCCTTAATTCTTTTCATTTGAAAGCAATATAGTAGTATTTCATTTTAGCACTTTTTTTAATTTGAATTCCACAACAGGTGGCAGCTCTGCGCATTGTAAATTTTAATAATTTTTTTTTTTTCAAACAGAAGACTTTATATGTTATGTAAACAATTTAAAAACAGATGGCAACTTTATTGATTTATAAATTTAACTATTCCTGAGCTCTCTTGAAATTCCGCTAAAGCTAATTCGAAATCGGTTAAGCTGTTGCTCCTAGTTAGTCACAAAACATACGTACAGCGTATATATATATAAAAATTATAAGTGCCACGTCCCCTCTGGAAAATTTGGCATAACATAAATCTATTACACATTAGCCTATGTAAATTTTGTTAATTTCCATTGAGCCGTTCTCGAGTTATCAGTTAACAATGTAAACATGAACATATTTTCCAAATGAAAAACCAAACCTTCACTTCACTTCACTAAACCATCTAATTAATGACCTAAATATGCCGTGTAAATTTGGTTGGATTCGATGAAGCCGTTTTCGAGTTATAAGCCAACGCGTTAATTTATATGTCTACGATTAGAGATGCCACGCCCAGACTATTTGCAACGATTAGTTTAATGTTTAACCGGAGGATAACTAACCGATAGATAGATTGATGTGACATTTTCGTTTTCACCAAGTTCTGGTTACTTAACTTCTGTTTAGTTTGATCATTGTGAATATTTTAAGTTAAGTTCACAAAAACTTGCATGGTGAATACCTAAAAACTCTATGAAATCTGGTATTTGTTTACATTTTTCCATACAATTTGGTTATTTGTTTCATTTCTTTAAATTTTTTTAGGAAAAGGACTTTGATGATTTTGAAATAAATATACGGTTTTAATGTATAATTGCGGATTTTTTAAAAGAAAGTAAATGCATTTTTAATAAAACTTAGAATGTGAACTTTAATCAAATATATAATTGCCATTTTGTTCGATAACCTTTTGCCATCTTCCTGGCAAATTTAGTATTCCACGCTCATAGAACTTCTGTATTCAATTTGTCCAACTGCTCTTAGTGGACATCCAAATTAGTCGCTTGGTTCCTTGGAAGCAGCTCAAAATATACGACACCCTTCCAATCCCACCAAACAGACAGCATAACCTTCTTTTGGTGGATATCAGCCTTTGAAGTGGTTTGAGCTGGTTCACCATGCTTGGACCATGATCGTTTTCGACTAACGTTGTTGTAAACAATCCATTTTTCATCTCCAGTTATGATTCGTTTTAAAAACGGATCGAATTCATTGTGTTTAAGGGGCATATCACAAGCGTTGATTCGGTGTGTTAAATGAATTTCTTTCAATACATGTGGTACCCAAATATCAAGCTTTTTCACCAGTCCAAGACTTTTTATGTGATAATGAATGGTTGATTTTGGTATACTTAACTTCTCTCCTACCTCACGCTCAGTTATATGACGATCCAATTCGATTAATGCTTTGATTTGGTCATCATCAACTTCATTTGGCCGACCTGAACGTGGCTCAACTTTAAGTGAAAAATCTCCAGAACGGAATTTGCGAAACCAATTTTGACACTGTCTTCCTTTTAAGGCTTCATCATCATACACATCTCGTAACTTTTTAGCAACCTGCTCCGCGTTTTTTCCTCTACGGAAAGAATAGAGTAAAATATGACGAAAATGTTCCTTTGTGGGCTCCATATTAAAATTGACGCCAAACAAACAAATGTAAACAAAATTTCGCGCACTTTTTTTCTAAAGCAAACTAAAAGTAACAGCTGATAACTGACAGAAGAAAGAATGCAGTTACAGAGTCACAAGCCGTTGAAAAAATTTGTCAACGCCGACTATATGAAAAATCCGCAATTACTTTTTGGGCAACCCAATAGTTAGTTATAAATGAATTTATGGTTATTTTATACCAATAACCCACTCTAACAACATAATCTCTGACTAGATCTTACGACAGCGTTTGTTTGCACCTCAGCTACGCTTACGTCGGCATCAACGCACTTGAACATCTACTTCATCAAGATGACAATCATTGTTCTGTATGACAACATTGAAGAAAACAGCTTGCTTTTTTCGCTATTCTAATGAATGATTGACTATTTATCAAACGACTGGCAGACGCCACTTTTATTCCGCCTAAAGCAGTAAAACAAATTAAACAAATTAAAAAATTTCCCAATGCTTAAAAGCATAATGTTAAGAGAAAAATTTCCACTGTTTTATTTCTGCAAAATCTAATAAATTATCAACAATATTTATTTACTCAAAACACACTCAGTGTGGGGTTTTCCCTATAAATACGCTTCTGAATCAATGTAACCAGATAGGCTATGCATTCCATATTATTCACAATTAAATTTATTTATTTTTCATAATTAAATTTTATTTAAAGCCGGAATACTTTTTTATTTGCTATTTTAATATTCGCCGCTGTCAAATTATCTTCTGGTTAAGAGCTAATCGACACTCGATGTGGGCGTTAAGTTAACCGCTTATGTCTCTCGCCAAAAAATGTCTCTATCGGTCGTTTTCCTGTTGCGGAGTGTATGGTGTAGTTGTATTCATATGTGGATCTATTTAAAAGTTCTTGGAACGATCGACGGGTTCATTCTGTTTTGAGACAGCGCATAATTTTTGATAAGGTGGAGTGAAATCTTTCAATTTGTCCGTTCACTGTGATTGTATATGGAGGATCTTTGATTCAATTCATGATTGAATGGAAACTGATTTCAAAGATTTTTCGTTATCGATAACTATTGTCTTTGGTACGCCGAAGGCGAAACGTATTAGTCGCAATGATTCTCTGATATCTTCTATTGCTTTTGACTCTACTACTCTAACTTGCGCATAATTCGAAAACTTGTCTACCGCTGTTAGCACTTGTTTTCTTTCTGTATTATAAATATCTATATGGATTATTTCGCCGGGATGTGAGGGAACTGAGGTTTCTAATATTGTGTAAACGAATTTTATGCTACCTTCCGCTTAAGTTATGATTAAGTGCTTAACCGGAGATGGTGAAAACCGCCTATAGTTAAGTTTTTCGTAGCCGTTCTCAAG